ATATTGTCATTTTCTAGCTTGTGGCGATAAATGAAATGGAGTTCCATTATCAAGACAAAGTCCATCCAATCAACTATGTGATGCATACTGTCTCAACTATGCGGGTATATTTCGCTACAACCTATAGCATGGTCCAGCTTTTGCAGTTATTTCTAATACAAATTTATCTTTATAGGTAATATATTGTCTTGTGGTATTCTCTTTCATTGACAACACTAATCAACAAACATTCTACTGAGTACAATTTCTTTATTGTGTCAGAAATCTGTTGAACTGTAACTTCATATGTTCCTTATTATCCTTAGACTTCAGTTTCAAATATTTGTAAGCTGTATTGCAGTTGTTCCCACCAGAAGAATGGCTGGTTGGAGCAGCATTACCATCAAAGTATGCACCACAAAGAATAAATATGATACTCGATCAACTATCACCTGAAACAGTAAGGTATGCTCTGCAGTCTGCCATCTATATCATTATCCTTGTAAACACATATACATGAAATGGTTCTTTTCTAAGATATAAAAAGGGGGAGAGCTTGTAAATCAAGCAATAGAATCAAAATTATCTTCCCTTTTGCCACTTCAGTTACTGATGAGTATGCAGATCAAAAGAAAAGAGCAGCAAAGCTGTAATAAACTTTGTCAACTAGAGTACCTTCTTCAATCTCATAGTTCAGCTAGCAGTAGGAGATACATTAGTAACTCTGGCAAATCTTGTGAAATCTCCTTTCTGTCACTGGGGGGGGGGCAAATACAACAGCCTACTCACTCTTCTCAAATATAGCTGCTCTTTGATAATCTCGGTTTATGATTTTGTTCATTCACATATGCATATATGTATCAGAAATGCTGGGAGTTGATGGAACTGTGCTCGGATGTACAGTGTTTAATTTTGGAAAAATCATGATCTGGGAAGCTCCACATGCTTAGTGTAAGCACGTGTTGGCCTAGCTATCTTGTAATCCATACCCCCCCCCCCCCCCCCCAAAGAAAAGACCAACCATGGACTAACTTGGTGGCTTTATATTAAGAGAAGAAAATAGGGCACTCAAATTTGCCTCGACGAGGACTTGACCTCAGTCAACTGACTCTTATAGTCCATACAATTTGGGTAACTCTTTCATAGGTGGTAGTTAAAATGTTAATCCCAGTAGCTGATTATTCCGCTTTACTTTCATATAATCGAATTTATTTTCTATCTACTTTGCCCATTATACCATATGCATTTGTTCTTTCTTTTATGCAATACTTCTTTCTCTTTATTTAGAATATTCTGGGAGTCCAAAAAATTTGAAGGATCTACGAGTTCTGTTGAGCCCTGGTATAACACACCATATTCAGTTGAAAATGTCACTCCTTCTGTGATACAGGTTCACCTTTTCAAAAGCTCCGTTTTCTTGTATTCCCTCATCTTATTGAATTCCATCTTATTTCACCTAACCTGTTGATGTGCTAACATATTGTTATTGATTTTCTCTACTTGACAGCAATGGATTAAAAAAGCTCCTACTGAGAAACTCCATCTCCCAAAACCTAATATCTTCATACCAAAAGATTTATCTCTTAAAGAAGTGCATGAAAAGGTCAGTTTTAGAGTACCTCAATGCTAACATCATTGTATTTTTTTTTTTACTCGAACATGCAGGAGAATCATCTGTGTACTCATATTCATATGAAATTGTTGGGACCTTGTGTAGTAAATAACTCTAACGAAAAGGACAATGTTTTACCAGGTTACTTTTCCAACAGTGTTAAGGAAGAGCCCATTTTCACAGTTGTGGTATAAGCCTGATATGCTGTTCTCCACACCAAAGGTTCATATTATCATTGATTTCCACTGTCCATTATCCAGCCACTCCCCTGAAGCAGTTGTTGCTACTGAGCTCTTTGTTGATTTGTTAGTAGATTATTTGAATGCTTATGGTAAGCACGAATCTGTAACTTTGGTGTACTTTTATATTTTTCCCATGCATAACAATCAATTTAGAGAGTACTGCCAACTTAAGGTTCATGTATACTATCTGCCTTTTTTGCAGCTTATGATGCTCAAATTGCTGGTTTATTCTATTCAATATATCTTACTTCGGCTGGATTCCAGGTATTTTTAGTTACTATGATTGCTTATATCCCTTAGTGCACACAGTGGGTGCTCCTAGCAGCTATATGCTTCGCATTTATAATTATCATGCTGACTGTTGCAGTTCTGATGCAATGTGAAGTTACTGCTATTATGCTAATTTTTGTTAGAACTCTCCCATTTAACTTTAAATGTTTATTAAAGGTTTCTTTAGGTGGTTACAATGACAAGATGAGAGTTCTCTTAAATGCCATACTAGTACAAATTGCGAATTTTGAAGTTAAGCCAAACAGATTTTCTGCCCTGAAGGTAATACGTGGATCTTATTACTTTCGTTATTGTTCTCTTTCATAATATTTCTAAGCCGCATTTAACCTTACAGCTGATATGTTATGTCAGATTTGAGTTGTTGACATGATATTTGGGAGTCTGAAAAAGTACCAAGGTTCCATGGACCTTGTGCTCTGCATGTGTTATTCTTATTCATTATTGAGATATATTTGTTAGCTTACAAGTTATATGGAAGTTATGGCAGTCTTCCAAAAATCATCTAGCTAAATAGAAGGTTTTTATACTTAAATTTAGTTTATACAAATGAAGCGATCTAACATAATTCTTTTAGAAAAACAAATTGTCTTTATTTTGGTGTCTAAGCTATGCACCTAACCATCCAGTACTACAGTCTTAGTCAATACCTATTAGAGATGCTAACAAATGTGACATTCTTTCCAAATTATAGGTTGTTTTAGCTTTTCTAGATCTATAGTTTTTACTATGTATCTAGATTTTTGCAAGCGGTAGAGTCTTACCGCCTGTGACCGGAAGGTCCCAGGTTCGAGTCGCAGTCTCCTCGCATTGCACAGGCGAGGGTAAGGCTTGCCACTGACACCCTTCCCCAGACCCCGCACAGAGCGGGAGCTCTCTGCACTGGGTACGCCCTTTTTTATAGTTTTTACTATGTATCTAGATTCTAGATATATCGTATATCTAAGTGCATAGCAAATGCTATGCATCTAGACAAGCCAAAACGACCTATAATTTGGGATGGAGGGACTAGCTAACAAAAAGACACCACAATTTGTGCAGGAAAAAAATAGGCTATTAAGCATATATCCTATTAATCAAGCCCATACCTAGGATTTTGAGGCCTTGGTGTTGCAATAGTTGGTATGTAGTTTCTAACTCTACAAGACGTGGAAAAGTAATAGACTTCTTTGTTTCACATTTCACAAATAGAACAAAGCTAAATTAATAATAAAGTGAAGTTCATGGCAACCAATAAAGGATGTAAATTTTGAATGTGATCAAACCTTGATGCGAATTTGTTGACACGAGGTCAATAGAATTGAAGGCATAAGCATCCACGTCCAGGAGGCAAGAAGCCATAAAGATATTACACACTGTCCAGAGTAGTAACAATGTGGGCTTTGGCCGTATGTGGAACCTAACCCATACTTGGAGCAAATTTTAGGCTTGACATAACTGAACTTAGTGACTAAGTAGTGATTGGGGGTCCTTAATTTTGGGGGGGCTGGTGCTATCGCGCAACTGTGTCTAGTTCCAAGGTTTAACTGTTTTGTGATGGTGCAGTTTTTTATGCATTCATGCATAGCAAGTGGCACATTGCATCATGATTATGATGAAATAGAGCAATATGCACATTTCGAAAAGTCAGTGATGCTAAGGATTATCATTATTTCTTATGAGTAATTACTGACCAACATCTTAAATCTCAGGAAACTTCTGTCAAGGACTACCAGAATTTCAATTTCCGACAACCTTATTCTCAAGCTTCATACTATGTCTCTTTGATATTGGAAGATAAAAAATGGCCTGTAGCTGAGAAACTTGAAGCTCTTTCTAAGCTTGAATCAGATTCTTTTGCAAAGTTTGTACCACACCTACTGTCGAAAACATTTTTGGAATGTTATGTTCAAGGTTTGGCATTTGTACCGATCATAGTGTTAATTTATTTATGTGAGTCTTGAGTGGAAAATATTTCTAATTGCACGTTTACAATTCTCCTTGTAGGGACATTGAACCAAGTGAAGCAAAATCTGTCGAAAGAGACCGAAAACACTATATTTAATGCCCCAATTCTTTGTTCAAATCCATGTCTCCATCAGAATATTTGACTAAAAGGGTCATCATGCTTGAAAATGAGTTGAAATGCTACTACCAAACTGAGGGATTAAACCAGAAGAATGAGAATTCATCAGTTATCCAATATATTCAGGTATAGATGTCTTTTTTTTTTTTTTTGAAAGAAGGTATAGATGTCTTATGTCCTTCCATGCAGTAAGGGCCTGTTTGCTTTGTGGACTGGACCTGTCTGGCGCAGGCAGCTCTCCCAGGCGGGGCTGGATGAAGCTGCCTGGCTGGTGCTGCCCAGGCCAGGCTCCCAACCAAACAGCCCTAAGTGCAATCATACCTCCATTTTTAAATATATGACGTTTAGGACGAACTATTTAGTTAAAAATAAACTAAATAGCTTGTCCTCAGCGTCATATATTTGAAAACAGAGGGAGAATTAATCAAAACTTAAGTGATTGGTGGTTTGTACTTTGTACCTTTAAATATTGTGGAGAGGATTGTTGGTGGTTCACTGGTTATCACTGAGTTGTGCACTCAGTGAAACTCATTAGATTCAGCAAGTTTTACCCCATTTATTTAACATTTTAAAGCTCTGTGATACAATATTCTGCTTACATGCAAACTAATATCAAATACTCAAACTCAACAAGAATTTATTTATAAGTCGGAATGAATTAAGTCTTCTCTGACCCATAGTCAATATAAGAATTAAACACTCTCCCTGGTTCATTATATCTGATTTTCTGATTATATATGGAATGTACCTTGCTAGGGGACATTCAAACTAACTGTAAGCATTCCAAGATACTAAGTATCTTTAATATATTCAGGTGCATCAGGATGACGCCATTTTGAATATCAAACTTGAGCTGTTCTCTCTAATAGCAAGCCAGCCAGCCTTCAACCAGCTACGAACTGTTGAACAACTTGGGTATATAACAAGTCTTTCTCTGAGGTATATGCTTGAGGTTTTTGTTACATGTACTGCTTGTCAATTTCTCCTTTTAGGAATAACATGAAGATTTAGTTCACATTTGAAAATTGAAATATCATTTAGATCTTAGCTTACAATGATTGCTACATTCTACAGATTCGACTATGGAGTCCTGGCACTCCAGGTTGTTATCCAGTCCACAGTAAAGGTACACGTGAACCTAGAGTAGTTTTTTCTTTCTTTCTTTCTTTTTTTCTTTTTTGAAAAGAACCTACAGTAGTTGTTGCTCCTGCTGATATTTTGTTGGATGCCTAGGATCCTTCATACCTTGATGTTAGAGTTGATGAATTCTTTAAGATGTTTGAAAGCAAAATCTATGAACTCTCCGACAAGGATTTCAAGGTTAGTGCCTTTGGTTTTCCATTCGCACCTAAGGCCTTGTTGGATGCGCATGTATTCATCCCAATCCACATGTGTTGAAGTGGATTGAAGTGGAATTAACTAAGTTCCATTCCATTCCACTCCAACACATGTGGATTGAGATGAATACACATGCATCCAAACAAGGCCTAATGAATTTTTCCAGTAAACCATGTGCTTTGCAGTGCAAAATTGTTGTTCCTTTTGTAAGTACACCATGCGACGCTCTTTAACATCACCACCATTGGATTGAAAGAAGCCACATTTACCACAGGACTCATTATTGGTGAGAACATGTGGACCTAGATAGTGGATCAAAAGGATGGGAAACTATGGGTGAAAAAAATCAGAAATATGACGTCATAGTCTAAGTTTATCCTCATTTTTTTTCCTGTAATATTGGACTATTTGTATGCTCATAACCAAAGGACCTTAATTCATATCACTGGACTAGATCTTTTGCGCTTGAAGCATTGACATGGGCTTTGTTATTTCAGAGAAATGTGAAATCACTAATTGATTCTAAACTGGAGAAGTTTAAAAACTTATGGGAGGAATCTCATTTCTACTGGGGAGAGATTGAGGCTGGAACTCTGAAGTTTGATAGAGTCGAGTCTGAGGTAAGTGTTCTCCTTTCAGCAACAATGCTTGTAAAGGAAATTGTATCAAGTATAAAGCAAACAGGCTGTAGCCTTTCAAGTAAAACACATAATACTGTAATAGTTGAAAATTATCACGAAATTTATAATTGTCACTACCTTATATTCAGAGGAAACAGAAATAAGAAGATTGTGCCAGTAATTGTCAAGATGTATGACCTTCGCTAATAAATGTAACAGGTCGCAATGCTAAGAGAGCTCGAGAAAGAAGAATTCATTGAGTACTTCGATCAGTACATAAAAGTGGACGCACCTCAAAGGAGGACAGTAAGCGTGCAAGTCTTCGGCGGCAACCATTCGGCAGAATTCAAGAAGGCGATCGCCGAAGCTGATCCGCCCAAAATGTACAGAATTACAGACATATTCGGCTTCAAACGATCGAGGCCGCTGTACAGCTCACTCAAGGGTGGTCCGGGCAGGATCACCATGGACTGACAGCCATCATGCAGCTATTCCTTAGTTTTCCTGTACTTAGTTTAATAACCTGTGGGTACGCATGAATTCGATTCTGAATCCTGCATCAGATTCGATTGCACGATTGATGCTATTCTTCACTGATTGGCTTTATTAACCAATAATGCACGACAGCGTCACTTTCTGGGCAAATCTAGGGAGCTGTATAAAGTCATGTATGTTCACATAATCACATGTCTATCTGCGTTTCTTCTGACAGCTATGCAGTTTGTACAGTTACATATCCACAGTGCACTAAGAACTAGAAGGCGCCATGAGGAGCCGAGAGACCAACACAGAACACACTGCATCTTCTACACACCACACCAATATACAGCTTAAGCCTGGCTGCCAGTGCCCGACCGCCTGACGCCGGCCGAGAACCGTCAAGGCGCCGCCATCCGCACGTGCATCGTCGTCGTCCCGGCTTCAGCACGCCCCGGTGTGTTCGCGAACGGCCGCCGGCGCCCCCACTCGAAGCCGCTGCGGTGCAACCGGCACCTGAACGAGCCCCGATGCCCCGTGGGCGAGCACACGCAGTAGTAGTGCGGCGCCGCCTGGGCCTGATGGGCACGTGGCGCAGACGGTGAGGGCGACGGTGCCACGGCCGCCTGCCGCTCCCGCCGCCTGACCGCGCAGCCCGGCGGCAGAGGCGGCAGCCCCGGATGGCACATGCTGCTGGGTTACAAAAGGTGAGACGATCGGCAGCTCCACCGGCTATACTACAGAGGGCGCCGAAGAATGGAATCGGGTTCCGGCGTTTTCAGGTGGTGGGAGATGACTAGACGTGGGGAAAAGGGCGGGGAATATTTGTGGGCAGGGTGGTATGGTAGCCCGCCGGCGATGGTTTTGCGAGCCGGAGTGACGTGGAGGGAAAGGTGGGGTGCGTGGCCGCCCGGGAGAGGAGCGGAGAGGAGAGCGCGTGGCGCGCGGCGTCGGCTTCGGCTGGGATCGCGTAAGGAGGGGTGCGCGGCCGTGGCGTTCTGAATTGCTTTGGTTCTTGGCTTCTTCCACGCGACCGGGGCGCGCGCCGGGCCCAGACAGACGGACAGGATGGTGGTAGATGGTAGAGCACAACTGCACAAGCACGTACTTCCATCCTCCTGCAGCTTCTTTGCTACTTTGCGGCGGCGTTTCTTATCCTCTCGTTTCATCCGACCCAAGTGGCGTGGAGGGCCCCAACTGATCGCTTGGGACGTCCGTCCGTCTTGTAAAATTGACTATAGGAAGCGCTATGTTGCGTGTCAGTTACCGAGGGGGCATTGCCTCTGGGATGCCATGAAAATATGGTGCTCACTTTTCTTGTTCACACTGGTATTTTAAATTTGGTGGAATTTTATTAAAAATATTGTTTTTATGGCTGGGAGAATCAAAGTAGCAAAATAAACTTGGTTGTGCTGGCTGTCGAAACCGTGGAAGTGAATTTTGATCCAGTCACCTGGAAGATCGTTTGGCTAACCTCTTGCAAGAGCAGGGAGCACGAGGCATGGGCTTGGATGGACAAACGATGCGATCAAGGTGGCTAACGGTTGAGTGATGGGCTTCTTTTCATATGTACATTTCGTCGCGAAACTGCTATCACCCTCTCAGGTGGTTGCTCCAACAAAGGAGGAAATGACCTTCAAGAAACAGTGTGGTGAACCTTTGCATTTATGTAAAAACTCTACTCGCTTCTCCTTTGTCCTTTCTATGTGATTGAGCAGGTGCAAGAGAGAATGATGGCTGAATTGACCATTGTACCTTGCCTCTTTGTTCCATTTTCGAGATATCTTACTTGCAAAACAAACAGCTCGGCGCTTGAACGGAATTGATCTACCAGATCCAACAAACTGCAGCACAACTTTCACCAAAGCAAACTGACATTTGCTCCAGAGTCACACACAGACGCACAGTCACACTACGCAAGTTGGCTAAAAATTTGTGTCGTCTGGGTGGCGAATGAGCCGAAAACATCATTGATTACTGAAGTTAAGTTCATGACATGAACCCAAAAAAAAAAGTTCATGACATGATATAAATTTTATTGAGCTTGGACAGTAATTTACCATAGGATTTACAAAGTTAGTCGGAGTCGGCGAACCCCGATAAACCACACAAGATCTGCCCCTCGGGCTTTGTTAGGCCTCGCCGAGAGGAACAACCAGATATGCAAGCGCATTACATTAGAGCATTTCGGTGACAGTTATTCCTTTTTTTTAAAAATCACTATATAATTCAAGCCAACTGTGATGCTACCTTCACATTTAAGTCCTTTTTGAAAAACGCAAGAATTTTAAAATAATCATATAAAAGTTTCACAAGAATCAGCTCATTTAAAAATAAAACACATTAAACAGGAAAAAAAACGTTACAATTTTTTTTTTGAGGAAAAAAACATGTTACAAATGGCCTTAGACCGTCTCCAACAAGAAACCAATATAGATACTCAAACCCAAAATAGATAGCAAGAGACACAAAATCAGTTCCAACAGATTATTTATACGGGAGATCTATTTTGGGTTGCCTATAAGGTACAATCCAAATATGGATATCATCTCTCATGAAAACTCATTTATAGAAATGATTCTCTTTTAAATCTTATTATTAAAGAAGATGTCGAATATGTATTAAATCATTTACCTGTAGCGTTCCCTAAAGAATAAATATATCTTATATTCTATGCGTTGTCCTTGGAAATAACCCTACAGTTCATTTCGTGGTGGAACATTCCTCTTCGACGTCCACAGAGAAATGGCACAATACACCAATCCCAGCCCGAGTCCTGGACACCTCATTGGAGGTCAACACCCCTTAGGCCCAGTCCCCATTTGCTCGTCGTCCGCGGCTGAACTGGTTCATCGCGCGCCCCTTCCCCATGGGGATCTCCGCCGGCGGCACCGCTGTCGCCGCCCTGCCGATCCTCACCCTCCTGCTGCTGCCGCACCCCGCGGCGCCATTCTCCTTCACATACAACTTCACCTCGCCCTCGGACACACCGCCGCCCGGGATTGCCTTCCAGGGGGACGCCTTCTACAACAAGGCGATCCGCCTCACCCGCGACGAGCGCCTCGGCCCCATCACCAGCAGCACCGGCCGCGCCTTCTACTCCCGCGCCGTCCCGCTCGCCGACCCCATCTCCCGCCGCCCGGCCTCCTTCGTCACCGCCTTCGCCTTCTCCATCGCCGCCCCCGACCCGGCCTCCGCCTCGGGCGACGGGCTCGCCTTCTTCCTCTCCCCGTTCCCCTCCGTCCTCCCCGAATCCTCCGCGGGGGGGCTCCTCGGCCTCTTCAATTCCTCCTCGGTCCGCGCCGGCACGCTCGTCGCCGTCGAGTTCGATACCTACAAGAACGAGTGGGACCCCAGCGGCGACCACGTCGGCGTCGATCTCGGGGGCATCGTCTCCGCTGCCACCGCCGACTGGCCTACCAGCATGAAGGACGGCCGCACGGCTCACGCGCGCGTCGAGTACGACGGCGGCGCCAAGAACCTCACCGTCGCGCTCTCCTACGGCTCCGCGCGCCCCAACGCCACGGACGACGTCCTTCTCTGGTACGCCGTCGATCTGAGGGACCACCTGCCGGACTCCGTCGCCGTAGGCTTCTCCGCCGCCACGGGCGAGGCCGCGGAGCTGCACCAGGTGCTGTACTGGGAGTTCACCTCCACCTTTGACCCCAAGGAGGAGACGGTGGTCCTGTGGGTGGTGCTAGGACTGTGCGCTTTGCTCCTCGTACTCGTCTGCGCGGGCATCGTCTGGTTCGTCAGGCAATGGAGAAAGGCAGGACAATTCGACGACGGTGACATCGAGGTCGACGACGTCATGGGAGGCGAGTACGACGAGCTCGCGGACGAGTTCGTTGTCCAGAGCGGCCCGAGAAGGTTCAGGTACGCCGAATTGGCGGCGGCCACGAAGAATTTCGCCGAGGACCGGAAGCTCGGGCAAGGCGGGTTCGGCGCCGTGTACCGGGGGTACCTGAAGGAGCTCGGCTTGAGGTTGCCATCAAGAGGGTGTCCAAGGGCTCGACGCAGGGGCGCAAGGAGTACGCCGCCGAGGTGCGCATCATCAGCCAGCTGCGCCACCGGCACCTCGTCCGCCTCGTCGGTTGGTGCCACGAGCACCGGGGCGATTTCCTGCTCGTGTACGAGCTCATGCCCAACGGCAGCGTCGACCACCACCTCTACGGCAAGGGCGTGCTCCTCACCTGGCCGATGCGGTACGACATTGCGCTGGGCCTCGCGTCGGCGATGCTCTACCTCCACGAGGAGTGTCTGCAGTGCATCGTCCACCGGGATATCAAGCCGAGTAATGTCATGCTGGACTCCACCTTCAGCGCGAAGCTCGGGGACTTTGGCCTTGCCAAGCTCGTGGAACATGGCAGCCAGCCGTACACCACTGTCCTGGCGGGCACACTGGGCTACTTGGCGCCGGAGTGCGTGCTGACAGGCAAGGCGAGCCGGGAGTCAGACGTGTACAGCTTCGGTGTCGTGGCTTTGGAGATCGCGTGCGGCCGACGGCCGGCAGAGCTCAACGAGGAGCCAAGCAAGGCGAGACTGGTGCCGTGGGTGTGGGAGCTGTATGGCAAGAACGCCTTCCTTGAAGCAGCAGACTGGAGGCTGAAGGGGCAGTTCGATGAGAAGCAGATGGAGCGCCTGATGATTGTGGGTTTGTGGTGTGCTCATCCTGACTATGCGCATAGGCCAAGCATCAGGCAGGCCCTGAACGTGCTTAAATTCGAGGCACCATTGCCGGCGCTGCCGCCGAAGATGCCGGTGCCGACGTACTTTCCCTTGCCTGATTTGGTTGCTTCGATTTCTGTTGCGGGAACCTCGATCGCCACCGAGGATCCAGTTGTTAGTGATTATGGATCCTCAGGTAAAGCTTCATCGGTCAGGGATAGGCTGCTGGAGCCATGAGCCCATGACAGAGTTTTCTGGAGCTGAAACCAAAAAAAAGAGTATTGCTAAATAACACTCGGGTGTTTGGTCACCTCTCAACACACGAATTCTTGGCCACACGATCTGACTGTGTCAGCTGCGCCCGTACGGCTTTGGCTCTCATCTCCGCCTCAGGCGACGGCGCCGCGTGCAGCTCCCCCGGCCGGATAGCAACAGGCAGCCAGGCCGGCCCTCCACCGCCGCCCCCAGGCCGGATCTCCGCCGCAGCCCCCGCCGAGCCCAGGCCGGACCTCCGCCGCTGCCCCGGTGTCGCCCCCAGGCCGGCCCTCCGCCACCGCCGCAAGGCCGGCCGCGGCTCCCCAGGGCGAGCCCGCGCTCCGCCGGCCCTGACAATAGCCCCCCACGGCATGGTGCTTTGCTCTGCTCGGCAATTTGTCTAAAGAATTTGTGTTTTTTTCTGAAATTTGTTTACAATTTATGAACAATTTGACATATATCTATGATATCTGTAATCCATAGAAATAATTTATATTTTTTTTAAATATTTAACATATATTTCTCTGACATCTTCGGTCTCCTCAATTACATCACTATATTCAATAAATTACATTGAATAAATCAGTGTAAATATAGTAATGAGACCATATAAATATCTAAAACACTCAGTTTTGGTTAGACGGACTAAAAAAACATTGCTGATTAGACGGACTAAAAAAAAACCATTGCGGACCCAACAGGAAAATGTTGTTGTGCTGATGGTGTTTTTTTACTTTATACACGAGGCAGTGATTATGTGATTTTGAGATTCAGTTGTATATAATCGAAATGTGTTGATTGTTGATTCATAGGTAAGGGTGGCAAAAACAATTTCTCCTGTGTTACTTAGGGCAGTCCCAATACAAAAATCATCGTAGTTTCTACGTGTATTTATTGTTCTGCCAACTCAGCATTTCGCTAAAGGGATTTATTAAAGGATTAATTGGATCTATGCCATTATAATTTCTTCGTTTCTGAATAACGCCGTTACTATTCGTCTATTTTGAAGCATGCCATTACAGTTCTTCGTTTCACACAAATATGCCACAGAATACGTATGGACACGGCCTGGACCCAACTGCAGTGTATACGAAGACGTATACTTCATCACTCCTGTCACTAACACGCGGGCCCCACACGTCATCTTCTTCTTCCTCCTCTCCCTCTCCATCCCGACGCGGCCACGGCCACAGCGAGCAGCAGCAGCACGCCGAGCAGCGCCGCGGGCGAGCAGCAACGCGCCGGACTGGGCTGGGGGCGGGGAAGGGGCCGTGCCTACTGGAGCTCGGGGGGACGGGGATGGGACCACGCCTGCTGGAGCTCGCAGGCATGGGGATAGGGTCGCATCTGCTGGATCTCGCGGGGACAGGGTCGCTGCAGCGCGCAGGGACGGGGCCACGCCTGCCGGAGCCGGGGACCGGGAGCCCGCAGTCGCGCCGGCCATGGAGGCACTTGTGAAGCTCGACCTGCACCAGATTCATGGAGGAGGAGGTGTGCGGGGCGCCAGCCATGGAGGTACTCGTGAAGCCCAATCGGCACCATATCCATGGAGGAGGAGGTCCGCCGGACGCCGGCCATGGAGGAGGAGGCGCCCGCCGCCGGGGAAGGCCAGCAGCACGCCGCGCAGCAGCAACAGCACGCCGAGCAGCAGCGCGTGGGGTCACGACAGCGGCTCGTCGGCTCGCCCGCAGCCGCCGCCGCCGGCAGCGCCCGCCGTGGTCGCGTCGGGATGGAGAGAGAGAGACGAGGGGAGGAAGAAGATGATGATATGTGGGGCCCGCGTGTCAGTGACAGGGGAGATGAAGTATACGTCTTCGTATATGCCTACAGCTGAGCCCAAGCTATGTCCATACGTATTCAATGACATTTTCGTGGGAAACGAAGAATTGTAATGACATACTTCAAAATAGACGAATAGTAATTGCGTTATTCACAAACCAATAAGTTATAATGGTATACCAATTAACCCTTTATTAAAGAGGGGGAAGGAAAAAACAAGAAACGGCGTCTAAACAAGAAACGACGTCTTCGCGGAGATCGAGAGTCGAAGAAACGACCATAATCGCGTTGGGGACGGCATCTGCGTTTCTATCCTCTTCCTCCGGATCTGGTACTCCGAGTCCATGGCTACCGCGCGATGGAGGCAGCGGTCGGCGTCTGCAACCCCGCGGCGAGAACGGCGGCCACGGAGGAGGTGATCGAGGCGAGCGAGGATGCGCGCAATCCGGTCGGCGTCCGCGCGGAGGAAGACGACGCATGAGAGGCGGCCGCTGGGCACCAGGGGCAAGGACGTCGGCCTGGTGCTCCCTAAGCCCGCCGCCTCCGCCATGGTCCGTTCGGCGCTCGCAGAGAAGCAGCGCTACTCCAACTCGCGCAAGGCCACCTGCTGCTAGCCTGCTACTACTTTTTCTCCATCTCACGCCGGAGGCAGCAAAGAGCCGGCAAAGTTCTGGCCAGCCAACCCCAGCAACTGCAAGTGCGTGTACTTCAAACTTCTGTATGTTTTTCCAAATCGCGGCTAGCACGTCACCGCGGACGCTGTCCAGACGCTACTGCTCGCCGGCCTGCAGCAGCACAGCTGGTGCCCGCCGCCTGGAACGCGCTCCAGCAGGGCCGATACAGGGACCCCGCCGCCGCATGGGACTCGCTCCGCGAGTTCATGCAGCACAGGTACACGTCCGGGTTGCACGAACAAATGGAGGAGCAAAGGATCCGATGAATGATAGTTCATATTTTTATTTGGACTCCAGCGGAGAAAAAATGGACTGTGAAGTTTAGTTTCTTTCATACAGAGTCCTAGGCTATAGAAACCACTTGTAGTTTCTGCATTACAAGTTTGCCATCATACGTAGTTTTGATTATGTTACGAGATTCACGCGCTAAGAGCATCTGCAAGGAATTAGCCAAAAGAAATATTTAAATTAAGTGATTTAGCTATTTTCTAAAATAAATTTCTCCTAAAATGCAGACTACTATAGCAAACTATCTAAATCGAGACTCTCCATATTTAAACTTGCCACGTCACCAGATTTTTTTTTTTTGGGGTCTTCGGATCCACCACGATCCCGTCCGCTCTCATCGCGTAGACTTTCTCGCCGGCGCCTGGAACTCAAGTCCAGCAGCAGGGCCCTGCACGCAAGGCCAGAAGGGCAACGCGGCGGTCGTCGACGAGCAAGCCAGTGACCTGCGACAACACGTTGTGCACCCTCCTCGCCGGCCACGGCCTTGCATGTGGCGCCGGAGGACTCCTCACTTTTACAGGCTTACTTTTGCAGGCTGTACTACACGGGGGAGGTGGAACTTGGCACGCCGACGCCGGCCGAACGCGACGTTCCTAGTGGCGCTGGAGACCGGCAGCGACCTCTTCTGGGTGCCCTACGAGTCTACGACTGCAAGCAGTGCGCGTCCACCGCCAACACATCATCCTCCGGAGTGCACATGCAGGATGTGCTCCACCTCACCAAGGAGCCCTCGGCCCCGGCGCCGCCACCGCCGCGGAAGCCCGGCAGGTGCCTATCTTGTTTGGCCGTTCGGGCGCGGGAACGGCCGATTGAGCATGCGGGATAGGCCGAAAGCGCGTAGGAGAGGCTGCTGCCGCGAGATTCACGGGACTTGGCGAGCGAGGCCTGCTCGCTTTTCATGGCGAGCGAAAAAAGAGGAATAGCCCGTATCTATTTTTAGAGAGCAAGACAGAGAGTCTGTTGGAGGTTTATTTTACACAAAATTCTCTAAATTAGAATACATAACAAAGAATGGAGTTTCTTAGAGTTGTTCTAAGGTCGGAAATGCTGATGATAACCTGCTAGGGCTCTTTTGGAACATAAATAGGGAAATTATTATCATCAGAATTTTATAGAAATGCAGTTGTAAAATAGAGGAATGGAAAATATAGAAATTTTGAAGGAAAGTGGTAGAAATCCTAAGGTTTTTTAACCATGCCGAAGTTTACTTTTTCACTAGCTGGTGAAACATGAAGGATGTTTAAATTCAAATTATCTATTTGAATATTTATCAATTGTACAAACTATTAACAAACCATGCCGAATAGAATTTGAGAAAAGAGAGAATGGAACGGGCCCACAGCTCCAGTAGCTCCAAATCTACCCGATCCACCGTGGAGCAGCGGATCTAGGTTTCATCCAAACATTTGGTACAGCTCCGGCTCTAACATGGACTCACATGCAATGTAAGAAAATATCCAAGGGGCAAATTGGGAAGAAAAAAATCTTCCACGAGGCAGATCCATGGGTTTCAAGAAACTGCTGCATGGTGGAGCTAATGGATCTAGAAGTGTTTAGCATGAAAAAATGAATCTGGATCTATTTTTCTGAATGAGCTGGAGTTCTACCAGACAATACCAAAATAGAGGCCATGATTTTAGGGCTACTGCTAGAGTTAAAGGCCAAAAAACATACTCCACATTCTTTGTACATATCAAGATTCAAACTTTTAAAAGTTACCAATAATTTAACTAACAATTTCTAACTATTATAATACAAACTTGGTGTCCACTCCAATTATCATAAATTTATAAGCATAAATAGTATAAAACAAAACAAAATAAAATAATTGTCAAAATATAATTTAGGAGACTGTCATTTCATGCCGCGTTCTATGAAAGAAAATGAAGATACTAGCCTTTAGAGAAAACCCTCGAGGCTCTGATCTCTATTGCTGGAGCTGTTTCATGGTGTTACGGTTATGGAACACACAGACCACCAATAGAAGTGCATATCATAGCTGCCGAAGCGATTCAGATATTGCCGCCTCAAACTTAAGAATTAAGATAAAAGAACACGCGACCAATGAGAACACGTTGCCATCACAAGTCAATATGACAAACCCAGCTCAATATTTTCGATGGCTTATCGCATACAAACTGTTGCCAGAAGCTGCGGCCCACATGTCAGACGTGCCGACAAAATATATGCACATATTTTTACCATGTTAGCTTTGACTGTCGTTATCCTCATGATATTAAG